ATAATAAAAATACATTCCATGATCAATTTAATAATAATAATAATAAATATTAACCACTTTTCACTCCATGTGATGTTCAGGGTGTAAAATAACAGTGTCTATGGGCCACAGCAGTTTGAAGGACATGCTTTTCAAGCAAATCCAATTTGATTAGAATCTGTTCAAATTTTCAACACATAAGTACATGTACATGCAATAAAAATGAAGAATTCTCTTCCTTTAAATTTTGGCAAAATATTTATGAGTAACTTTAAAAATTCATAAAAAATCCAATTTTGATCGAAACTAGCTAAAACTTTCTGGACAACATAAGAACATGTAGATGATTATACATCTTATTTTACACCCTGGGGATATCTTTACTGCTGTACCTTGAGCATTCTTCAAAAGATCAACTGCTCTTGAATGCTCGGCTTCTTCAAGATTCTAAAAAATAGGAGAGTAAAAAATGTTGCGACTAGCAATAAACGTCATACAGTACCTCTCCATTTACTGACAATATCTGGTCGCCTCTTCTTAGCTGCCCTTGTCTATGTGTGTGAGAGAGAGTAATTGTTATTTTAAGAAGGGTGAGGTCACTAATATACATGCACACGCAGTAACTCAATGTATAATAAAAATTTAGCTTTCTACTACTAAACTTAGCCACCCTTTCATACACATGTACCCTCTTTAAACATACCTGTCAGAATATCCACCAGGTATTATGCGTGATATGTATATAGGACACTTCTGTTCCCGTCCACCCATCACGTTGAAACCAAAGCCTTCGGCAGTTTTTTCTAATTCGACTAAACGTGGATGACCTTGTCCCTCGCTAGCTGCAAAAGCAGCCACAGTTGCCTGAAAGAGATAGGGACTAATTAAATATTAATGACGTACTAATAATGTATTTATACATGCATGTAGTAGTACAAATAGAAGTCATACAATCTATTATTGGAATTATTATTGACTTAAGCTAGTAACTGGAATGTGTGTGTGTGTCCATTAGTCATGTCAAACACATGCCAGTAAGTAGTTGAACAAGTTTCAAATGAACCACAAACAAATACACTAAACACTGTAATAGTAATGTTATGGTGTAGTTTTAAATTTGGCATAAAGAAAGTGTATAAACACTAGCAATATAGCAACCCATCTAAAACCACTAGTTCTACATGTAACTCAATCACCAATCAGACAATCACCAAGATAAATGTACTAAATGTACATAAATACATAACATTACATATAAATACATAATACATGAATATGTACATGTAATTCTTCATTATACTCACTTTAGCTGTAGCTTGAGCTCTGACTTCAGGACTGCCTTTAGTTTCAACTGTTTGATACATATTCTCGTACACCTACAGTACCAATATGTCAACATACACCACTAAATATGATAAGAATTATTTCAATTTCACCTCTTTAACTTGACGAAAGAACGAACTGATTAAAACTTGACGTAACTGACCCATTTGTTCCTTTGGGAGTGTCGTATCCTCTTCTAAATAATGCCCACATATTAATCTCTTTATTTCATAATATATGCTTACTTTCCAGTAATACCCCAAGGAGCTCTATTATTCTTTCTATGTCTGTTTATAAAAGGGGTGGAGATTATGATTGAATCTTTTCTCTCTCCTTACCTTGATCCAATCCCATTTGTGGAGGAGGGCTGGAGACTCTTGTATCAGAAACTGTAGCCATCCTCTGATTTCTCTCTCTCTTTCTATCTCTGCTTCTTTATTGTAGGAGGCTAGGAGATAGCAGAGAAGGAATGCAAAATATGCACTTTGTATATTTTCTAAATATTTCCGGATACTAACCCATGCACACTTCCGTTTACTTGCTTTGTAATCTCTTGCAAAACCAACTCGCGCGTCCGTTAATTCTAGTTACATTATCAGTATACTGGCCCCTCCTCCTCAGGCTTGCGGAATCGAGTACATCTCTTTTTGCCTCTGACTCGACCTCGGAGCTTCTCTTTCTCTGCCTCCTAGCACTCTCAGCTCGCGGGAGCAGTTCAGGTAAAGACCAGAGGCTCTATTTGCTGTATTTCTCATCTTAATTTTAGCAACCTTCCATTAAATAATGTGTGAAATGTGGTTTATTCTTATTGGCTCGCTCCAATAAATTATTTTTAGTAAATTATGCAGCATGGCATCACATCTAAAGTCTTAGCTCATTAACTTCTTACAGTTCATGTACATGTACATGTACCTACCTCTCGTCATTCCCTAGCTTTCTTGTTACCATGGTTACTAGCCCATTACCCATTGGTTGCTCTTAGTGTCGTTTTCCCCTCTATCCCATTGAGGGAGAGGATACACAGCACTGTACATGTACATAAACTGTTATGAGCTAAAAGGGGAAATTATTTATTTATTTTTGTGATGAATTGATTTCAGTGTGTGTTTTGACTGGTTTGCATGTGCATGCATATACATGCACATGCTCATGTATTATTATTATTATTATTATTATTATTATTATTATTATTATTATTATTATTGTTATTATTGTGTGTGCTTCTGTGTCATTGTAAGATGCTTTTGATGCTTCTGTGTATTGGATAGTTTTATAAAAAAGAATAACATTTGATTGTCAACACACACACACGGACACCTTCATGTATATACATATACTCACAGTAATTTGTTTTCAATCTCTCTCTCTCCCCCACTTTTTGTCTTGTACAAATCATTATTAGAGCTAATAGTCATAGCTCTCCTTATTTGTCCTTATGGTGCTTCCACTGTAACATTATATCCATATACATGTACATGTATAATCATATCATTTTATGTCATTCATAGATCACACACACAGTCAGTCAGTCTGTCAGTCAGCCAAGTGCAAGTTGGGGATCTCCTGTTTGACTTAATTTCAGTTTACTTTACTTCTCTTCTTTGGAATGTCTGGACTCTTTGATGGTATAGAAGATGATGGTAAGAGTTTTAAAAAGAGAAAGAGAGACAGAGATAATGAAAGATAAGAGTAGGGATATCAGTGATATTATCACCTTACAAAATATTAACCTCCCCCCTCTGTTTCCTTTTCAGAAGATATTTTTTCTTCATCATCATCAGCACCGGCTGTACCCTCTACTTCTCTTCCCCCTCCTCTCCCGGTAGAGAAAGAGGCAAGTCCTCCTGACCTGTTTTCAGAACAGAGCAGTGACACTCAAATGAATCTCTTCAGTCCTGGAAAAGATAATGAAGTATGTGTGACATTATAGCTAATGTACATGTACATGTACATACTCAATTTTATAACTACATTGTTTATATGTAGTTATTTGGGTTTGATCCTTCAAAGCCAAAATCGGATCTGTTTGGTGATGATGATGATGCTGCTCCAGAGATGAATAAAGCTTCACCAAGTGATAGTAAGAGTCCTCTTGCTGATCAAGAGGATCAAGAGGACGAAGATCAAGAGAAGAGTGATGAAGTGGATGAGGAATTCGAATTGATTGAGTCATCTGAGGCTCCACCTCCTGAAGAGGCTGAGAGGCAGATTAATGAGATACAGGAGGAAGCAGAGAGACGGAGGAAAGAAGAAGAGGAGAAGGAGAAAGAGAAAGAAGAGGAAGAAGAAGAACAGAAAGAGACAACATCAGATGAGACAACTGATGGAGCAATATGTACGTTGTATTCATAATGTGAATGAATCTCTCACTCCTCTCTCTCTGTCTCTCTAGTTACAAAGATGTCTGCCACTAAGAATGATCCAAAAGATGATGAAGGTATTTAATTACTGACACATTAGTTCTTCTTGAATCACTATAATCGTTAATTATAGATAAGCCATTGACCACAGCTAGTCCCCCACTATTAGATGATGATGATGAAAGCAGCAGTGAAGCCATTAATAAGGTAATATACAGTGTTGTCTTTCATCGTAACACGTGTTGTGGTCATGTCTTAAACTTTTATGATCTTGTCGCTCTAACAGATTTTATTTATCATTAGCCATTAGCAAGAGCACGTGATAGCTATTATTAGTGTCTAAAATGTACAGTGTACTGTACATGTACATAGTACCAATGAGGGCATCTCTAGTTTAGTGTATTGAAAATCTTATGTATTCATGTATTGTACAGGCATAATGGCTCTTTATTATAAAATGAAATTATGATAACAGTGATAGCAGCAATTTCTATTCTATTTCAATATAATAAATAAACAATATCTGCGGTTTGCGCTATAAATAATAATAATAATAATAATGATAATAATAATAGATTCTATTCCACTATACACATGATTGATATAAATGTAGTTATGCAATTAAAAACTGACTAAAACAAATACTCTGTAGATTTTGTACTAGTTACAGTGTAGTTATAAAAACTGTCCAATCTCTGATGTGATAAAATATTACTACCATGTCCATATACAATGATCTGCTGCTATTACATCTATAATAGCATCCCATAATAGTCACTATGATAGAGTCAGTGATGCAAATATAGCATAAGAACCTGTATCTTTGTTATTATTGCTTGAGGAGGAGCTTCTAACGTCCTTATATAGTCTGTTGTCTCCACTCACTATCCTTAATAAGTGAATTACTTGTAAGCATAAAGCTTGACTGTATTCCACCACATCAATCGTGTGTCTTCTTGATCTCGGTATGTCCTCTCTATTGACTACAGAGAGAGCCACAATCACTTCTCCTTCCTCCCTCTCCCTCTCCAGTCCTTCCGTTAATCTTTTATTGTTTTGGGCGGGGCTTGTATCACTAATGGGCGTGGTTTCTCCGAGACTCACGTAGCCAATAGCATAACTCACTATTTGTTTAGAGTCTTCTTGGACATCTTCTAATGCTATACTTAGTCTGTCAGCAATGTTATCACGAGCTTCATAGAATCCATTTTCGCTCAGGGATGAGTAGTAGGCGGAGTCAATGACCACGCCCTCTCCCCGCCTACTTGCCTCATCCATTGGTAGTGGTTTTGGTTGTAGACAAGCTGTCATTAGGTCAGGGAGAGGGGGAGAAGGAGAGCTCATGTTTGCTGGTCTTTCTCTCTCTGTCTTTTGTTGATATAGTCAACAAAATAAACCAGTTATTTAAACCTGTTTGGGCCAGGCCACGCCCAAGTGGGAAGTTATGTTTTGCCATATTTGGAATTTCCTTTGTAGCTGTTATGAATTTGAATTTTGAATAGTTATTGATTGTGTAATCATGAGACGAGTATTGCTTACTCTATGTCTTGTACACACACAAACTAATAGTAATCGAATTACACTATGAATAATAATGACATTACTTGTACATGCAAGGAAGCAAAAGCAGTCAGCATATTGTATATGTACATGTACATTGTACATATGTAATGGTTTTATAGCGTGTTGTCTGAATGCATGATGTTAGTACAAAATGAATGTAAAATTTTAAACTCCCAAAAAAATTTTCTATTGTACATGTAATTGCTTAAAAGCAACCTTTTTTTCTTTTTTCCCCAGTAACGATCTATTGTAGTTTGATTTTCATCAATATCAGGCTCTTTTTTACGTCTTAGACTTCTTCTCTCATTTCTACCTTGTGTTTGTGGTGTTACTGCTGTAATTGTGTCATCTATTGTTTCTTCTATACCCATATGCTCAGGCTGCTCCTCACATCCAAGAGTCATGTAAATAGCATAAGCATAAGCATTCTGTTCATCTTTAGTTAACTCATCAATTTCTTCTTCCTTTGTTTGCCTTCTCCCTTCATTGAAGGTTTTGTTGACCAGTCTGTTGTCAGCCTCTTCTATCAACTGGTGATGGACTAATCTTTGCTCTAGAATGAGTGCATAGTCTTCTTGTTTGATTCTTTTTGCTTTTCTTCCTGGAAGGATGTCTTTAGTGACAACTCCTAACACTACCAATCCATTGCATCCATAGTTCTTCATTTTGTGTGCTCTGTATCTTGAGCTGATGCCGCTTTTAATCCAAGTATCAGGATCCATTCTGTCAAAATGTTGGAAGCTTTTCCCGTGACGTTTTTTGCGTTTGAGATACGTTTTCCTATGTAGTATTTATGGACTCTTCTCTGGCTGTCAATGTCTTGAGTTTCATAGTCTTGTATTGTTAGCTTGAGTCTTTCTGATAGCTTCTTTATATCTCTGTCCATCTTTCTTTCTGTTCCTTTTTCATTTTCATCATCAGCCAAATTAACAGGATTGAAAGTATAACTTTGAATGCCACTTTTACAGAAACATTCGAAGTCTATTCCTCCTTTAGTACTGCTTACATTTGATTCAGCCATTTCTCTAGGAATGACTCAGCAAAGATGATATGCCAGCATCAGCCAATTAACCTTATCAAAACATGTAGTGAAGTATAAGCTGTGAAGTATAGTAATGAACAGTTGATGTACATGCATGTACTCATTGAGTATGTTTGTGTGTGTGTGTGTGTGTGTGTGGTCAATGTATACTGTATTTGTTTTAGAGATTTGTTGTGTTACAAAAACAACTTAATTCCTTATGTGTGAAGACAAAGAGGGGAGAAAGAATGAATAGTTGTGGTATAATGTGTGTACTACTCACTATTAGCTCATTGTGTAGCAATGATGTGGAATTTAGGATACAAGAACACCAAAACATATTAGGTTGTGTGAACAGGCTGAGAAATACATCACATTGTAAAATTCCTAGAAGACTGAATGGCTTCTGTGTTTTCCTCTACTTTAAATAATAGTAGTAATAATAATAAATTTTGTCTCACATAACAGTACACAACTACACATGTTTAGTAATTCACATGTATAGATGTACATGTACATGTACTCCAAAAAGGTTTAAGATATGACTTGATGCAGTGATTGCTTAGTTAGGTCCTGGTATTTTTGAATTGCATTAGTAACAGACTGTTTTCATTCTCACTCAATAATTACTAGACATCAAATAGATATCTTTCTCTAAACATAAAGTCATTTACTGTCTAATTATAATGACCTTTCTACTGTCCTGTCCCCTTCCTTTCTTTCTCCTCCCTCTCTCTCTCTCCTCATTCACCCCCTCAGGCTCAGCAGGATCAAATCAATGAACTAACAATGAAACTGCAGCAGACACAGTCTGAGCTAGCTGCTCTTAAATCTCAGGTACACGATATTCACATTGTACATGTACTGTACATGTACATGTATGTTCATGCATTTAACATCAACTACAATAGACCTGCAGTGTATACTGTAGTCCCTGTACTATAATACGGGGTATTTCAACAAAAATCACAAGGAGAGAATTCTCGATTTTTTTCTGATGCTTCTTATACTTGTATTTATCTTGTGTAGCAAGTTTGAGCTGATTCCTATCAAAATTAGATTTTTAAATAAATTTTAAAAGTTGCTCCGAATGCCATGCACTGTATTGTAGTGCTTGTCAGCTCATGAAGCTCATGCTGTTTAGCTCACTTAGCATGCTTTGTGGGGAACCCTGGCCTGACTGTATGTATATATGCACCAATTTATGCCATTGATTTTATATCTTATTATTAACGATACATTTACATGTACATGTAACACGTATGATAGGTTGGGCAGTTGGATGCTCAATTGAAGGAGGAGAGAGAGAAGAACACCAAATTAGAGGCAACCGTTAAAGAGAGAGACAATGAGGTAAGCAGCATACTTGCTAATGCAGTGCCTTTAATTAATGGCTTATTGTAGACAAAGCTTCTTTTAATTTATGTTTTAGTTGTGCTTGATTGTGTTTACATTTTACATTTGTTCTAATTTCGTTTCCACCACATTTAGATAGCATCACTGAAGGCAGCAGCAGCAGAGTCTAGTGGTAAGTCACTGAGGAAGACATCAAGCTCAGCTCGTATTGGATCCTCTTCCTCTACCTCTATATCCAGCCCAAGGACAGGGTAGGAGAAAAAGAGATATGATTTTTAATTAATTTTTATTTGATAATTGGACACGCCCCGCGCGCTAATTTCGCGGTACTTTTGGCGCGAACGTGACGTCAGCTGGCGGTAGTCAATAATAGTGGCGACTATCCAAGCATTTTGAGTCTGATTTGTTCCTTCTGTCTTCGTTTTTTGTCTCTATGGCTGGAGTAGAGGTCGTTCCGAATTCAATTGCAGCCCACGCGTCATACAAGCACTTCTCTTGGCTGGAGGAATGGTAAGACACAGTCTTCCTTGCTAAATACAGTTCTATGAGCCTCGCCCAATTATGCTGCCAGCTAACTAGCAGCCTAGCTCGCTCATTATAGAATTGGATATAGACGAAAAGGTCTTTTTTTCTGTTGGTCCATCGTGTTTATTGTTTATTCTAAGTAGTAGCATTTGTTTTTTAAGTGATTCAGTATCTTAAAGACTGTATACAAAATTTTGTATACATTATTGCAAGAATGAAAAAATAATACACTGATGGTAGCTGTGCTATCTGGTCTTGTTTTACAAGGCCAGATAGCACAGCTACCATCAGTGTTTGCAGCTGGCTCACTCCCTCTCCTTCCTTGTAATGTGTTGTAAATTCCAGAGCAGTATCTACTAGGGAAAGGAATTCTCCTCATTAATTACTGCTTGACAACTGGAACATCAAACAAAATATTATTAATTAGAGAATTATTACTATGATTATCGTGTGACAATAGCAAGTTGCTTTTATGAATTTTGCCAATTCCTAATTGTGTTTGCTAACAATTAATTTTGGCTCAATTTGATCATACGATGTCTGTATTTACCTTGTAAGATAAATATTGGCAATGAATTGAAGAGAATTGCCCATATTTATTAAGTTTGCGATTTTTGTTTAATTTTGAACATGCTCAATGACACGTGGCTACAAAAATGTACCAACTGGAGAGAAATTGCTTTTGAAAAATCCCCTTTATTTCATCTTGTATGGTAATAAAAAAACCCTTTTTACAACTCTTAGTATCCTTTCTTGTGTTGCTATGGGTACATGTAACTGTTCAGTAATAGGATGTGGTGAGATTCATGAGTAGACATAACTTGTGATATAATGTCCTTTTTCCTTTTTGTTTTATTTATTTTTATTTTGTCTTCTCTTTCTCCCTCTCCCTTTAATCTAACACTCTCTCTCTCTCTCTCTCTCTCCCCCCCATCTTTCTATTCCTCATTGGTTCCAATCAACAATCTCTCAGTGCCAAATTAGACAGGTTAGTTTGTGAGTAGTAATCCAATCACCACTAGTGCATGCTTAATGGTTCGACTAATAAAGTGACAACAAACTACAAATCATACTTTGATGTACCTACACTGTACTTGAATACAGTGACCCACTTCCCTCCGATGTAGTCTGATCAGAATGAGGTGTATGCAACTACAAATAAAATTCTAATAAAATCACAATTAGTACATTTGAATTTTGAAATGCAGTTGAAATGCAATATACATGTACATGTAATTTTCTTAGTATCGTCAATACTGCTGTTCATCTGTCTGCTGTTACATGTACACTTGGTTTATCGGTATGCTTTATAGTTCTGGATTACCTGATAACTGATTGATAGCTATTCCTTCAATATCAGTATTAAGTTGTTTACTGGAATCCTGTTGATGTTTATTGTACAAGTAATGCACAGGCTGATAAGCTATAGGCATCCTTATACACAGTGGTTATTGTAAACACACTATTTTAATACTATGGGACTGTAGAATTACTACCCTCATCCTGGCATACAAGGTTATACAGTTATACCAATTCATGCTGTGTAAAGATACCACAGTATATAAAATATATATAGTACAGCATTGATATGATGTCAGCAGGTTGTTGTGTAAGCATGTGGGTTGGAAGCCACACACTGTATTATTAGTAGTTTGGCTCACGTTTTGTAGCTCAGTTTACGTGAGGGAGAGGCAGTGAGTGGTGAGTGAGAGGCAGTAGCTATAAGTGTATATCTATTTCTTTAACACTCCATTGAGTACCAATAAAAGGTATTCTAGTTTACTGCTGGTGGCTTTATTCTCATCTTCTTGTTCTACATTGTATGTGTGTGTATTATTCTTGTAGGAAAGGCACTGCCAGTGTTGCTGAAACTGCTAAAAAGTTTGGAGGGACAAAGCCATCACCACCAACCAAGCAAAGGATATCTGTGAGCAGTAAGCCAGACAAGCCTGAAAAGCCAGGTGAGCAGTGAAATATTGCAATAAAAGAGAGACAATGAGACTATTCAAGTAGCCTCTTACATGTAGTACATGTTGAGTGATTGTGAACTCTTGTAGCAATCATTAGGACTTTTATTGTACATTTAAAAGACTCTAATAGACTCTTAGCCTAACCTGCTGTGAGGGGAATTCTAATCAATTTAGCTTTTACTGGTAATGTAACTGTACATTGCAGTAATGTACACCAGTGACTGTTAGATGTACTAATGTACTGCAATGTTATTTATTATTTCTTAATGTGTAATGTAGTACATGTACTGTACTTTGCTAAATGTTGTTTTTGTTTGTTATAATGAAAGCTAACTGTTCTTATTTTTGTTGTGAGCAAATTAGATAATATGGATTTCGCTGAATAATAATAATATCAATTAAACTGAAATTACTATTACATGACTTTGTTATAAACAATCAACAAGTATCACATTACTGTACAACAGCATATTTAATACTACATGTAGTTCTTACTATTACAGTCTACTATACTCATTGCATTGTGTTCCTATTGTTTGGTTGGTTGGGGTTAGTGTGTGTCCTGTTGTGGTAATGTTGTGGTTTGTAAGTCAGTAAATGACATCACTTGGTGTCCCTCAGCAACACACCTGTAGTTCCAACCATCCCATTCCTCCACTATGATAACAGGACATGTACTAATGCTTGAAGTACATGTAGTAGTATAATGTCATCCAGCTTAATTGAAATAAACATGTGTCTGGAACATCATGACACAGGAGTTTCTATTCTAGTCCAAAGATGAAAGGCTTGAGCATTGAATTAACCTAGACTGATATGTATCCTTATAAATATCTGTTGTACAAGAATTACATGAATTATTCATTTGATGTTAAATTTTTATTCTATTTTATAATTTTACAAGCATCCGCCTAAACTTATATTCCCGGGTTTATTTATTTTTAATGATTATTATTATTATTGACTTATTAATTTATTTTTTTATTTAGTAACACTAAAGGATTCATCAACTTCTAAGGTTTCTTCATCAACATCATCTACAGCAGCTGCCAAAAAGGAAAGGACTACATCCCAGTCCAGCCAAGAAGGGTAAGTAGGAGAGAGTTGGCCTTAGGGCATTGAATATACACTCTACATGTAATGTACTGTGGATGCACATGTACATTGTAGAAAGGATTGTATGCTACTGTACATTCTACATAAATGTACATGTATATATGCCCTATTTAGTACTGTACATATCGTCTATACATGTACATGTATGTATCTACAAAGTCATGCACTGTAGTGCATGTACATTGTACATGCCACACATTTTATCTGTGGCATGCACTACTGAATAATAGTCTTTGATTGTATTATATCCTCATGCTACCAGTCAACAAGTCTATAATAATTCACATCATAGTATCATACCAAGAGTACATGTACTACATGCTCTTGATCGTACACATGGTTAGAATTTGTTACGTTATCTTTTAAATTAGATTAGCTTGCTAGAGTACATTTAGTCTATAGTGAGTGAGTGGTTTTGCTTTTGATCTTAATGGGATAAAATACACGTACACATTGTACATGTGTTGTTTTAGAAAAAGTACATGTATGCTTTTCCAAAAAATAGCTTTGAAAACTTTACCCTCCAATTTCTATTGTAGAATGTACATGTAGATGCATGTACATTTTACATGTACTGTAGAAAGTTTGAGTCAATTATAATCACTCATTTCTGAATTACATGTACATGTATGGCCATCACTACATGCTTCCATCAATAATAATAATTTATTTTGTAAATTAATCCTAATGAATTGTTGTTGGGAGCAAAAGCCAATGACAATTAATATGAGCCAAGTTTGGCACAACCATCACCAGAAAGGAGAGAGGAGAGGAAGAGAGACATTCAACTATTGATTATCATTATTATCATTATAAATTATAATGTACATGTAGCTTTAGTATTATTATTATTATTATTATTATTATTATTATTATATGTTCGTGTACTTAATGATAATTACAATGTTCATATTATTTTTATTTTATTTCTATTAGTACTACTCAGTCTGTGGCTAGCAGTAAGAGAGAAGCAGCTGAAAAGGCAGCAGCTGCAAGAGCTGCAGCTGCACAAGAAAGAGAAAGATCAAAGTCACAACAGGAAGCACCAGTAAGGACAATTAAACAAAAACCTCTTTCTTTCTCTCACTCTCTTTATTTTATTATTGTTTTATTTATTTTTTAATAATAGTCTCCCAAATCAAGCCCTTCCAAGCCTCCCAGGAGCAGAGGGTCAAGTTCAATAACTTCAACTGCATCAGCTCCAGAGTCATCACCAAAAATGTCTTCATCCAAGGAATCAAGGAGTGTAAGTTTATGGGCGTGGCAATATTTGGGTTCAATGTAGGCGTGGTCATCACTATATTTTTTATGTCCTTATAAGGCAAGAGTAGATCATGCCCTAGAACTAACGTCAGTGTTGTGTTTGTCTGAAGAGTGTTGTGTACATAGACAGATATTTGAAGCATAATACATGTACATGTACATTGTGTACATGTACTGTACGTATACATGCACTTCATTGTAGTGAGGCATTGTAGCACTAACTATGGTATTGTTATACATGTCATGTACATAACAATCCACATGTGTGAATATTTGCAGTATATATAATGCATTTAGTATAATGTGCATAGTTGGCAGTTTATGTACATGTACACGTACATTGTATACTTTATATTGTCAATGGTACATACACAATGTAACATGTACTGTATGTGTATTGTATTGTGTTGCTGAGTTATAGTTATAAGTGTTGCCCCTGGAAAGCTTTGTATCCTGTCATTCAGTTTACTATTGCTCCTGGCTATTCTCTCTCTTTCATTTTCTGCTGCTCTCATTTTTACTTCTTTGTGGCTTGCTACAGTACTTCTTTGTGTGTTGGAGTAATATTAGCTTCTAGTTTTTATCATCACTACACAGTTCAAGTGATATTGTCTAAAGCTCTCATTCCTTCTTCATTGGGTGTCACTCTTCATTCATTATACTAATTCATCAGTGTCTGTTTGACTGACTGTGTGTGATTTGTTGCTGTATTGCGTTACCTCTTCATCTCTTAATCACTCATTGACTTCAGAGGAAAGAGATTAGCTGTACTTTAGTAAACTCTGCCAGTACTGCTCAATATGGAGGAGGTGGAGGAGTCTAACCGTCCTAACTCAATGTTTACAACATCAAGCTTTGATGTATGATAGTGTTTTACAAGTGCTCTATTATGTACATGTACATGTACACAATGTACACGTAATGTACGCGTGTACATGTACATGTAATGGTGGTTCTAAGTGTCTGTTTACTCATCCTTTCTCTGAGTGTGTGTGTGCGTGTATATTGGTGCGTTATTTAGAGTATTCTCGTTATAATGGGGTGGGCTCCATCCTTTGTATAAAAGGAGTGAGAGAGACTCGTGTGATTAGTAGTAGCCAGTTTGACTGGAACTGTGTGTCATTGAGTATCTATTAGTGTCTAATTGTACGTGTGTGGAGCTATTAGCTGTATTTACTGTGCGTGTGTGGAAGTCTCTTTGTGTAAAGGAGCTCAACTGTAATTCAATCCCCACTGCTATACCATCTGGTGCTTGTACAGTATCAATCTCTGCCTCTCTAAGGGTGGACTGAGTGTATTACATGTCCTGTATTGTGTCTACTATAAGTTGTACATTATGAGTGAGGAAGATCCCATAATACAGACCCTTGTGCCCTCAGTCTCTGAATTACCTGTTCCTTGTTCTCCTCCTCATTCCATACAGGCACTGGATGCCATCAAGATGTGGGAACAGAAGAGCTCTGGTGGTGTTTCATCACCTCCTTCTTCCACTGTAAGGATATGCCACCTGTTGTTTGTTTATATTGACCCATCCCTTCCTTCCTCATTCTCCTCCTTTATTTTAATCTCATCCTGTTCCTTTCTTTTAAAGCATAGCATGACAGATACAATGTACTGTACATGCATGTGATCAATTATTATTATTATTTTAGCATTTTTATTATTGTCATTATTGTATCATTTTTAATTTGCTGTACATGTACATGTATCTCATTGTGGATTTATTCCTAATATCTAATTGTGTGCTCATGTAGGACGCACCAAAAAAGAAGGTTCTCTCAGAGCAGCTCAGTGCTCCAATGGTCTCCTCCAGTGAAGATACATCAACTGAAGTCGAGTCAGTAAAAGAGGAGCCATCAGAGAATGTCCCTCCTCCCAAAGGAGAGGGAGAGGCTAAGAAAGATACAGAGAAGAAGGTTACGTTGAGAGATAAGACAGTCGACAAAGACACAAGAGGAGCCTTTGCACAGTCTTGTGTTGTTCCTGGAGCATCATCTGGAAAAGTAAGAGGGAGGGGAGAAAGTAGGGGAGCATTTTATGCATCACATGTATGTATTATACATGTACATGTACATGTGGTTGTGTAGTACATGTATATTGTTTTATATTACATTGCTTTGTAGAAATGGGGTCCAGTGTTGGAGAAGTGTGAGTTCTGTAAGAAGACAGTCTATCAGTTGGAGAGGCTGCAAGCTGATGGTAAAGTATTCCATAAAAGCTGCTTCAGGTGTACCCATTGCAAGAAAGTTGTTGGGTAAGTTTATTTATATGTACATGTACATGTACATGCACATATCTCAAAGAGTTGGAGATACATGTACATGTACATTTATGACATTTATTGTATTTATCATACCCAAGGGCTTTTTGCTTGAGGTTGATAAGGCTATGCTTAGCTAGACTCTTACAAGTTGCACAGGGTTTTGGCCAAATTTTACCAAAATTGAAAAGATTCTTCATTTTTATATTTTTTAATGTTTTGTAGCAAGGTTGAGCTAGTTGTGACCAAAATTGGATTTTTTATGACTTTTTTAAAGTTACTCAAAAATCGGGCTAAATTTCCTGTACTTTATACAGCTGATCAAATTTTGCCAAAAATTACTGGAGAGAATTTTCCATTTTAAATTTTCTTCTGTTACATACATGTATATTATATTATTCTTACGCTAAGTGTATCAAATTACTATCTACTGTATTACATACATGTATGAATCCCTGAATTGTACGCTATTGCGTCATATACATAGTATACTAGTAAGTACTGTACGCTATTGCATCATACATGTATATGTATACCTGTAACGCAAGTACCCTATTGCATCATGCATTGATAAAATAATATTGTTCCCTTTAAGTTAAAAACATTCACACCCCATTCACATGTACATGTGACACATGAGCACATGTAGAGCATGTGTTCGTTTAATATACACAATACAAGTATGTAACATGTAGTATTGGATTAAACCCTCCTCTCTCTCTCTCCAATAGATTGGGTACATATGCTGCCATTAAAGGTGAAATATACTGCAAGACTCACTTCAAGATGCTCTTCAAGATGAAGGGCAACTATGACGAGGGTTTCGGTCGCTCGCAGCACAAGACAAAATGGCTCAATAAGTCGGACGGAGAGCAAAGCTCTAGCGATCCATCACTGGTGGCAGCTACTCAATAATATAAGGGACACTGACCACAACCATTTCGTTTCCTTTTACCCTGTGTATATTAATTATTAAAGAGTGGTCTTCTGCTTTTCTTATGTAAACGGTAGCAGCAGCTGGTTATAATCTGCTTTCTCATTACACTTAGTTAATTAATTATTAGCTCCAAAAAAATTGTAGTCTCTTCTCACTGTGTTTTCTCAATTGATAATTTATTTTAACGGAAACTGATTCAACTTATTAATGTTTTATTTTAACTTCTTATTCTTGTTATTTTATTGTGAGCTCACAAGCAGTGTCTATGTTATTATTGTTTTTTTTCTGCTATTATTATTATTGTTACATCAGTTTCTTCTTAAATGGATTTTTCATGTTTTAAAAGCAATTTCTGAATTAAGACCTAGGGGAATTCAGGAACTCTTATTATAATGATAACATGGTTAGCATGCATTGTGGCTGATGTAACATTCAAAAGGTTTGAGGGCAAATTGTGGCATGATGCATAAACAATCTCGTGATATTTCCCTATGAAAATTTCAGGTATAATTCAGATTTTATTCTTGGGCCAAATATTTTAGCTTGTCCATTTGTTGTTAATGTAAACTACTGAATGTTGTTCTTGAGTTATACAAAGCTATGTGGTATATACTTTTAGCTTCATTGTGAACAAAAGATTATTAATGTTATTAATGGTATTGGGAAAAAATGAACCAAAATCAGCAATCACACAAACAGCAAAATCAGGGAAAAGAGACTATACAATAAACTTAAGTATATGAAACATACAATGTTATGTCCTTTATCACTAGCAATAAGCAATAATGCAATAAGAGGGGAAAGACTCTGCTCTTAATTCAATTAAATGGCTTGTTCCCAAGGAATCGCTCCAGCATATCTAGTGCATTCTTAGGCTGATCTCTAGGCACCATGTGACCAGCTGCTTCAATTTGTAAAAAGGTCAGAGGACCGTAGGCCTTCACTTGACCAGCGACTGAACCATTGACTATCCATTGTTCAAATGGAGCTTTTTGAAACTCACTCATATCGGCCCATTTCGTAGTGATGGTCCACTGTAGTCCTCCAAAATAGTTGCAAATGTAATCTTCCTTTCCACTGTACACTAGCACACGGTGTCCGGTGGAGATTACTGTAGAGACTGCATCTTGAAACTCTTTTATCCAATCACCAATCAAACGGAGCTCCACAGCTCTCCTGCATCCGGCCCAACTGTGATTACCCACACCTAGCGCAGCCTTCACATCTGGGTTAGCAAGCAACTTCTCAGTGGCACTAAAGTCATAGCAAAGAGGAGGGGACTGGCACTTGATCCTTATGTCATAAGGATTGATAGTTTCACGACGTTTGACTTCAGCAGCTGTCAGGACTAAAGTCTCTATCAACTGACACTCCTCAAATGCTACTGGCCACACTCCGGACTTGATCAACTCTTTGCAGACATCATACATTCCAGTAGCTGTATCAAGTACGGCTTTATCAATGAGTCCATTTGCATAAGCATAAGGAGCATATTGCCCATACTGAATGAGTGGATCGACCCATCCATTACCGATAGCAATCCCCTTAAGATTAGTGGCATATGCATTGTCAAGTTTTGATATAAAACTACCAATTGCTGGAACATAATGACCAGCATAGCTCTCGCCGATGATGTAAAGGTCAAGTTTCGAGTACTTTGGGTATTTCTCGTAGAACATTACGATAAAGTCCCACAGTGCCCTAGCAATCTCATCCTCGTTGGTGTCGTGTTTGGCTTTATCAGTGATATAGGAGAAACCAGTACCGGCGGGTTGATCTACGTAGAGGAGATTAGCAAAGCTGTTCCAGGAGTAAGGATTGTAAGCCGGGGTAACCGTTGTGTTCAGAAGGAAGGGGCCATTCTCACCAAAGAGAGCAAGGAGGCTGGAGCAGCCAGGGCCACCAGTCAACCAAAGGACAAGAGGATCGTTGGACGGATCGCTACGACTTTCAAAGAACCAGTAGAAATAGGCAACTCCGTGTTGCTCGTTAAGATCCATGTACCCACTGTACTGGGTGACATTATCAGGCCATGTATAGCTGAATGCTGGAGAAGAAGAGAGAAGGAGAAAAGCAGCAAGTGCTAAAAGAACAGCCATGCTCGATTACTCGTGACAGACAAACCACTGAGACCAGTCTGCAAAAAAATTACGTTACGCTTTAAATAGCCACACCTTCAATAAAACCACACCCCATGTAATAAAAATACTTTTATCAAAAAACATTTGCACTGTAAGCTATAATTTTTAAAGTAAAGTTCTCAAAGCATAGCAGCTATCTGTGCTCAAAGTGGTAGTTCATGACGGTATATTCCTCCTGCACTAGTGACAGCAAACAATGCATCAATAGTAGCATCAAGCTGAACCACATTAGATGCTGGCAATGCTGGGGATCCCATTTGTTCCCATATACCAGCACAGGGTATAGTGCAACGATACAGCTCATCATCTACTCCAATAGCAAATATCTCATGAGTACCAGCTGTTACATACTTCATCTGCCCTGGGATGGTACGCCATTGACCCCTTCCATGTACTGGATGAAAAGAAATGGCATTGGTTGTTTTATTGAGAGCATATACATGCTGTGAGTTGGCATCAATTTGGTCAAACTTTCCTGTAACCTTGTGTAGTGGGCTAGTGTAATGCTGCATCCAAGAAACCTCTTTATTTTATGTAAAAACCATATATGTGATAATGTGAATCTCTGGTAGCAGCAATATTCATCACATTAGGAAAATGTGAATGTTTGACCCATCCTCCTGAATTTTCCATTCCCTTTTGATAAGGGAATCCATCAGCCCCAATGCCCCATAAATAGGATGCATCAACTTCAATATTCACCATGCTATTACCAACATACACCCAATAATAATAATAATAATAATAATAATAATAATAATAATAATAATAATAATAATAATAATAATTACTAATGCAAGGCTGAGACAGTAGTAAGCTTTGAGTTGAGCATCAATAGACCAAAGAGCCACACTATTAGCATAAACGTGAGACATTGTTCTATACATTACAGCTTAGTCCACTGAACTGTGGTAGCATGATTTCCCCCCCTGCTAGCAGAAGAGCAACAAATATACAGCAAAATTCTGGTATTGTTCAGTGAATAATACCACAAAATCACTGTCTCGCCTTCTTTAGTATCAAACCCACTTGGGAGCATGTGGGGTAACCATGCCTGATCAAAAAAACATTTGGTCATCTCCTGAAGACCTGTGCGTTCAAAAGCAGTGTTGTTGTTATTATTGTTTTCCCCTCTTATTATCATTGTTACATCAGTTTCTTCTTAAATGAATTTTTACATTTTAAAAGCAATTTCTGAAGTAAAACCTAGGATATAGTCTCACCCTGCCCCTTCGACTAGACCTGGGGGAATTCATGAAGTCCAATGATAACAAGGTTAGCAGTGTAGCTGATGCAACATTCAAAAGGTTTGAGGGCAAATTGTGGTTATCATAAATCATAAACATTCTCATGATATTTTTCCATGATAATTTTCAAGCTTTGTAGCCTGTCACTTGTATACACCTCCAGGCTCCAGGCATAGTCTATCAAAGCCAAAGCAGCTAAACAAGATGCCATTTAAAATTTTTTCTTAGCACCAAATTATTCTCACTTAATATGACATTCAGGCATTTTTGTTAATATAAACTACTGAATGTTGTTCTTAAGTCATACTGAGCTATGTGGTATACTTTTAGTTTCATTGTGAATAAAAAAATAATAAATTCAATGGTATTATTAAAAAAGAACTAAAATCAACAATCATACAAGCAGCACTTGAATACATAAAAACACACAATGTTATACCAGCAATAATGCAATAAAAGAGGAAAGACTCTGCTCTTAATTCAAATTAAATGGCTTGTTCCCAAGGAAGTGCTCCAGCATATCCAGTGCATTCTTAGGCTGATCTCTAGGCACCATGTGACCAGCTGCTTCAATTTGTAAAAAGGTCAGCGGACCGTAGGCCTTCACTTGACCAGCAACTGAACCATTGACTATCCATTGTTGAAACGGAGCTTTTTGAAACTCACTCATATCGGCCCATTTCGTAGTGATGGTCCACTGTAGTCCTCCAAAATAGTTACAAATGTAATCTTCCTTTCCACTGTACACTAGCACACGGTGTCCAGTGGAGATTACTGTAGAGACTGCATCTTGAAACTCTTTTACCCAATCACCGATCAAAGGGAGCTCCACACTTCTCCTGCACTCGGCCCAACTGTGATTACCTACACCTAGCGCAGCCTTCACTTCTTTTGTAGCAAGAAACTTCTCAGTGGCACTAAAGTCATAGCAAAGAGGAGAGGACTGGCACTTAATCCTTATGTCATAAGGATTGATGGTTTCATTACGTTTGACTTCAGCAGCTTTTAGGACTAAAGTTTCTATCGACTGACACTCCTGAAATGCTGCTGACCACATTCCGGAATTGATCAACTCTTTGCAGCCATTATCATAAATTTCAGCAGCTTTATCAAGTATGGTTTTATTAATGAGTCCATTTGCATAAGCATAAGGAGCATATTGTCCATACTGAATGAGTGGATCGACCCATCCATTACCGATAGCAATCCCCTTAAGATTAGT